GGAGGTGTGTGTGTATGTGTATGGGGGTTGGGCGGGGGGGGGGGGGGGTAGCAGGGTTGAAACCTGGGAGAGGCGGGAGAGGGGAAGGAATTGCAGTTGTGAGATAGAAATAAATTAAAATTAATTATAAAAAAATAAATAGACTGGATAAAATGGCAGCATGTGAAAAAATGTGATGTCGTACGCGTGCGGAGTAACGCGGGGGGGAATAATTGGAAATGCTGTAACCCCAGAAGTCCCCCATCCATCCAACCCACCCATTCCGCATCTTCTCTACTGCCGTACCCATAATGTCGTACTGCCGTACTCACGTGTCGTCCCCATTTGGCTATTGCCCTTTGGCGAATTGTCTGGATGTCTGTTCCCTCAATCGCCACCTCCTCCTCCTCCTTCCCTCGATGTTGTTTTTCCTCTTTCTGTTTTCGTGCTTGTTGCTGCTGCTGCTGCTGCTGTGATTGCTGCTGCAATTGCTGTTGTTGCCGACCTCCCGTAGGAGGTAGAGACGCGGCGGCGGCGGCGGCGGGTGGCGGCGGCGGCGGCGGCAGTGGCGGCACCGGACAGTAGTACACGGCTCCGAACCAAATCAACCGGACCATCAGCTCCTTCCGGGCCGAGCGGCCGAGGAGGGGGGGGGAACCCCGGGGGGGTTGGAGCCCCGGGGGTTTGGGGGGGGGGGAAACGCAGGGTGGGAGTGGAGGCAGGGAAAAAGAGGAAGGGCGCCGGAAATTGTGGCTGTGATGGCTGCGATGGTGGTGATAGCATCACCACCTGTATTCGTGGGAACTGATGTGGTGGTGGTGGTGGTGATTGAAATTGATGGTGATTGATGGAGGTGTGGAAGCAGTTCCAACTTTTCCAGTTGGAATGGTGCCACTGCGATTGCCTCCCCACGAACGCAGTCGAAGTACAGTACCCCTCACTCCAAAAAAGACGGGGAAAAAACCCTGTGCCATACACACACACCTGCGGCACGTCTAACTGCTCCGCGAGCACCTCCGATGCGAGACCATCCCGGTGTACGATCAGATGACACACGTGGGCGCCGATTTGGTGGTCCAGGGGGGGGATTTGAAGGGCGCGCTCCAGAGTTGAGATGGGGAAGGGGTAGCGGGACGTTGGCGTGTGTGTTTGTGTTGCTTGCGGCGGCGGCGGCGGAAGAGGGGATGGGTCTGCCATGGAGTGGGGATGGCTGTGGGTTGTGCCATGGAGGGGCAGCTCCGAAACCACCGTGGTAGTGCCGGTTACGGTGGCAAGTGCTGTCTGGGGCGTTGAGAGATCTGCCATGTCGTTTGGGATTTTGGGGGATGCACTGCTTGCTGGGAGCGCGTGAAAATGGTTGTGGGCCGCAACCGTGCTGCGGCGCAGCCGAATAGTCAGTCGTGAGCCCCCAGGAAATTGGCAGTGTATTGGGTTTGTTCGGATGTTCGAATCTACTGCGTTTATGGATGGATGTAGAATGCCCATCGCGGTGAAATACCTGCTAGTCGGACGGATGACAATTGCCGGTTCGTAAACGCAAGCCTACATGGTCAAGTGTTCGCTTTTCTTCTATGTGCATGCTGGCGATGCTAACTATACAATAGGTATTTTACAATTGTATACTGTAGCAACTTTGCTGATGTGGATAGCGTGGGGATCCGATGCTCCCGACTACGGAATTTGAAATCGTACGGCGATGAATTCTAGTCTGTAATATGTTTTAGGTGAGAAATGGTATTCAACATTCACAGTGGAATGCATATCGTAGGATGCCGCAGATGGTGTGCACCTTATTCTTCTAGCTGATACCGTTGTCCAGCGCTCGTAACACTAGTAACCGTTGCCAACCATAACATTTTGAGGCGATTTTGCGTCGAGTTGGAGGCGGGCTTATTCCTTGCTGTACTTCCCATAGGCTTGAGCAGCTCAGCTATGGCCGACGACGGCCCTGACCGTGATGTTGAGAAACAACATTCTGCCGAAGCTGAAACAGCGAAAGTAGCTAAGAAGGATGGACAGCCGAAGCCAGGTGTGCGGCCTTCCGTTATTGCGTAGATTCGTCCAAGCTGTCTGTTGCTATCGCTTGCGGCCAGGCAACGTAGCAGACTACTTCATCCGCACATTACATCTCTCACTGTAGATGCACTAACTCGCTTACGCAGTTCGTGGTCTTGCTTTTTCGGAAAACTGCACAGATAGTAATGCCGGGAGGTCGTGTTGGCCTTGTCGTGTGCATGTTTTTAAGCCGGCATGCACACTTCATAACAATGACAATTTCCACTTTTCGATGCCGGGCTGCTTAGCTCTCCGGTCAAGTACCGGCTGCTTAACCCTCCGGTCAAGTAGCAATTGTCCAACGGCACTGCCACACTCAAGCAGAGCCCCCTTCAAATTTTATCATCACGAATTTGAACTTCCACATGGCCTTTTATGAAATTTCCTATCGTCTTTCCTTAAATGCGCCCTCTGTGAAGGCGCATTTAAGCGCTTCCTTTCAGGTCCCTACTTTGAGGTCATCCCCCCGCAATACGATCGAATGGCACATCTTGACACTGCGAAGCGAGGTCAGCTCGGCGCTGCTGCGAAGGAGGTCGAGGGTGAAAAGCAGGAGCATGCAACCGGCGATGACTACCTGGGAAAGCTCAGGTACGGAATTGGCATCTGGCACAAGGATATGTGAAATTTTGGAACGTCGTCCTGTAGTCCTGTGGCCCGCGCTTCTTAAATGATAAACGATTAAAAAGGAACAGTACGGAGCCGTACGGGACGAACACAAGCAGCAATTTCCTTCCTTTACCACTCCTTCCTTCACGCTCGCACGGGCTGGGACTTGAGCGTCCAGTCGATGCATCTCCAGAGGCTGGGACTGACGCCGTGTTTGCCAAAGCACGCGCAGCCACAGCCACAGCCAGAACGAAGGGGATGAGGGGATGAGCGTCACCCCCTCTCTCACACACGCACCACACACCAAACACACAGCAGGGACCCCTGCTTACCTCCTCTCTTCTTTAACTCGGCTAATATTTTTTAATCAACTCATTAATCTACGATTAATATGTCATATGTCATGTGCATCTTATTCATTCCCAACGTCCCCACCCTCCCCACATATCTCCCTTCTGTAACTCTCGCAAGGCACATTGTGATGAATCCAGTCGACGTGGACGATGTGTACGGCCTTCAGGGGGACGAGCTCGTACCGTTACCGTTTGACGTACCCAAGGTGGGTCACAGCCGGTGGCAGTCGGTTGGAATGTCGGTTGCTGTTTTTGTTGTTGTTTTCGTTGTTGTTGTTGTTGCAAATCGAGTGCTGTTTAGAGGCGATTGAAGCATTATTAGCAGACGTACCAAAGCCCCGGCAGGAGAGTCCAGAAGCACCTCCACCACCTCCAAGCCCTTCCTGACCATATATCATTCATACCTCTGTCCCCATCCCTCCATTGGATGTGCCAGTTGTAGAGACAGTTGACATTTTGCATTGTATCTACATAACATACATACATACATTTACATATACAGACAGACAGACATATATGAAAGATGAACCCAACCCCAGCCCCAACCCCATATTCTCATTCCCGTTATGGCTGCCCCCCCCCCCGCCAACACACTTTTCACTCGCTCGTGGTTAGTCTTTTCTCCCCATCCACACACACACCCACACACCCGCCGCAACACCTTTCCTTTGTGTTTGCAGTGGCACGCCTACCTGGTTGACATCCTCAGTGGAGTGTACCTGGTGGCGCAGGCAACTGTGGTCATGTTCATCGCAATATGTGAGCGAGTACTAGGGGTTATGACCTAATGATTATATGACCTACTTAGGGGTTATGATCTACTGCTGGTAGGGGTTAGGGGCCCCTTTCCTTCTCTGTGTGGAGTGACGTGTACTCGTAACCAGGCGTCTAATAATGCTGCTCGGAAACGAAAGGGAGGTGCAAGGGGAGAGGGATGCCGTACTTTTTGTCGTACGACATACCTTCCGCGGGACCGATGGATGTGGAGCGGTGCAAGGATTATGTGTGTGTGTGTGTCTGTGCACGTGTATGTATGTACGTGTGTCTGTGTGTGTGGGGGGGGAGGAGTTGTCGCACATTGGGGGGATGTGAGGGAAGTGTGGCCTTTACACGGTTTTAGTCTACAGGCTGCCCAGGGTTTTCTTAATTGCGGGTTATGAAAGCCCCCGTGCGCTCACCCCCCCCACCCCCCCCACCCCCCAACCCCGGTGTCCGCCTCGACCCGAATCCCGACTACATCCCGATGTTCGACTCGACCTCATACACGTACGACAATGTACGGCAACGCTGATTTGGACCTTGTAATGATGATGATGACGCACATGACGATGATGATGATAATGATGACGACGGCGCCTCCGCCCCTCCGACCCCCCCCCCCCACACACGCACATACACTATTCGGCATATGTTGGCATTTCCCTTCCGGCGCCTTCTTTCCTTCGGACACCTCCTCACTGCTCCCGGTGGGGGACTTAACATCGATGATGGGACCCACTCACCCGAATTGATAGATGTAAGTCAGGGTGGGTGTGTATGCATGTGGGTAAGGCCTGTCTGTATGTCTGTATGTCTTTCAGGAAGGAAACATCGGATACATCGGGGGTAATTATTTGTGATAATTATAATTGTGGTTGTGTAGATGTAGATGTATCTGAAGTGTCCGGTGGAACCACTATCCACCCCATTAACCCCCATCATTTTCCCATACCTGCTTCAATCGTGGTTCAGTGGTTCGTCTTCTTACCCTCATCATCACCCCACCACCGCTCCACACCCACTCGCACTACCCGCTACCCCCCCCCCGCCACTACCCACCGGTGACCGACAGGTTGAGAACCAGGAACGCGCGTGGAAGAGCGGCGGCAGCTACACGCGCAGTTGGCTGCCGCTGGTGAAGGCGCTGATCATCATCTACCCCCTCATCACCCTCATCATCCTGGTGTCGTTCACGGTCGACTACACCATCAGGAAGTTCATGTGAGTGCGGAGGGGGGGGAGAGAAGGGGGGGAGAGAGGGGGGTGGAAGGGGAGGAGAGAGAGGGTGGAGAGAGAGGGGGGGAAGTTGGGTGGTATCGCCCTCCATGAAGGGGGGCTCCCTTATAGTTCCTTAAGCCTAGGGTTTTACACTTGATCCTAAACTGGCTTATTATTATTTTTACTGTAAATTCTCCGGTGTTACTTTGGTGCGTTGTGTTAATTTCCATTTTCCATTGTTCACTAAGGTTACAAAGGTCATCTAACCGCCCTCCCAACCGCTGATTCTGTTTCTTTTTCTGTTTTCTGTTGTCAGGTATTTCCGGTTGTTGTCAATGCGGATCCTGGTGGACTGGAAAAACTACGAGGTGCGGTGTGTCTGTCTATCTGTCAGTCGGTGTGTATGTGTGTGTGTGTTTGGAGGGGC